CAACTGGATGCAAGTCCTGCTAAATCAGACCTGAAATAAACGGATATGGACAAACTGGGTTGCGCCCCGGCTGTAATTACTCCATTGATCCTAAATGTGACGACAGCAAGCTCGTTCCCTATTCTACTGCAGTCCATTTTCAAATGCAAAGATTATTATAGTAAAATTATTAAGTAAAAATGTCTAATATGATATTCGGTTGGTGTGGATGAAATCATATTTGCTATTCAACCAGTAAACATAGGGCGACAAGCAGCGCCAATATCTTGTATACTGAAATCATCTCGTCTCGTCTGTATGGGAAAATAGGCGGCATTGTCAGCTGCCACTGAGATGTTACACCGATAAATATAGGGTACATTCAAATTGTTGGCCGGCAATAAAGTCTGTAAAAAACGAATTGGACGGCCATAATGTCGGTAACTGGTTCGATGCTATCTTGATATTAGAATAAACTATCAGGAGGGTCTTCAATTATTTTGTCAAAAAGCGGTAGAGGGTTTGTATTATTTTTTTAAGGGAGCCAATTTTTGAATTAATGGGTCGTTGGGGGTTTTTCAATTTAGATTTTTGTTTTTTTTTTTTTTGGGTTTTGAAAAGGTTTTTTTTTGTTTGTTCTTGCAAAAACCTAACGATACTATTAATTAATATAAACAATCAATACTGCGAGATAGATCTGTGACGCAACAGGTGAAAGCGACGGTCTGAAATGCAACGGTCTGAAAAACAACCTCTTCAGCAAATGTTACGTAATAAACTTGGCCTTGAGTTTCCATAATGCTTGAAAATATCATTTAGTTTAATAAAAATCGCACCCAATTTTTCTGTATCAATTTTAGGAATGCGGCCATTAGTAGTAGAAGGCAAAATCCTGAAATAATTATCTCGGCAATACCATAAAAATTGTTTACAGTTCAAAGCGATTGTAACCGGATTGCGCTATAAACGAAGTGCAGATATAAAAACTGCATCGGAATTTCTTCATTGATGCGTCAGTACCATTTTTTCAAATAAAAAGTGCTCATTATTTACACGGCATCAATTAATTAAGTCAAAGGAAACTTTCGTATATGCAACCTAAAGGTCTCCTTTGCATAGGAAATTTGATGCCAAGCAAGAGGGCTTCCTTAACAGAAATATAAAGTGCGAATGAAAAATTAAAAGGAGTTTAAGTTGTGGTAGAAATGTGAAATACATTGTTTACTTTGTGCAGCTCAGAGTAAATTAACTTAACACGTTTCTAACATATTTCCCATTAAATTTATCTGAAACTAAATCCATGTTTAACTATGCCATCGACCATCAACCCGAGTTCTAGAGATTCAATGATTTAAACGTAATAAAGCTTATAAACGACTGCAAAATAACTTAGAATCATTTAAACACCGTTTAAACACAAATACACTAAAAAATTCTCAAAGGATGACTTTTCCGCTTGTAAATGGCAATCAAATTCACAAGTGCAATGATATTTATATTTTCTTTAATTAATACGCCCCATGGATTGCCCTGAGGTGCTCCACATGCGCTATAAAATAACAAATAACCCTAATGAAATTCGGGGACCACCTAGGCTTCGGCAGAATAATCACTACACTCGGCGCAAAGTTATTTTGAGTCTGCTTGGCCACCAGATCAAAATCAGTTTCTGGTCAGAATCTCCTATCAGATTTTATAGTCGCCGGATAGTAAAATAAGGGTTGGCCGAGCCTAGTCATACCGAGCTAGCAAGCTGCCCAGAGGCTGCCAATCAAACCCTGAGCCGAAGAGGACAAAGAGAAGCTGAATTACGTTCTCCCCGAGTGCTGGGCGGCCCTAATGCAGGGTCGCTCACGCCTCTAAATTTTGTCAGGGAATAAGTAGTAGCCAGAGAAGCCTATTTTCCTCCCACAATTATAGATTACTTGATAATTACTGAAGAGGATAATTTGTAAATTAACTCAATTCACTGAAAACCACAGAATTCAATGATAAAAATAACGTCATAATCATGCATTTAATTCAGTTTTTATACAACTGCAGTTAATTTCCCCCTTTCAAAATAACCAACTTTAGAATCAGTTCGTCGAGAAATTTTTTAAATCAATTTGTTTTCTTATTCTATGCACAATGAAAAATATAATTATCTTGCACAGAAGCACAGTTCAAGGCTTTTCGCAGCCAGGGCACTTGTGATAAGTACCTGTAGCAACAAGAAATCAGTTTTAATCGAGTCCTGAGAAATTCATCATGTGATGGATGGCAATAAAAGCAAGAGACCTGCAACAGCATCACAGTCCTCATCAGGCAGCATTCGTAAGCATCACAATCATGAACGGGTGAGTAAATTGTTGATTTAAACAATAATGTTGCTATAATATGAGGAAGTCGACCAGAGGTTGGCTTCCCTCTAAAAAACGCTGATAAACGGCATACTCGTGAATATTTGTTTAATTTTAATCAAACCCAGGCAAACCCAGAGGAATAGAGAGTAAACCGGAGATGGTGTTCCTAAAACCAGTCCTGCATCTAGTTACAATAATCCTTTCTATACATAATTTGATTTTATTAAAATTGTTATATATTGATTAAGATACGAGGTGAAAATAAGACATCAGGCAATGGACATATTGAAACAACAAGGTAGAGTTAAATCAGGCAGTTAAATTTTATAGTTTTCGAACATTTAGCTACACTGAAGCCGCTTAAACTGAACATTTAACTACTGCTGATAAATATTCATGACAAACTATAGTTTACCATCATGGTCACTCAAATTTTTAATTGAAATTATTCATTGAACTGAGTGTCACAAAATTTTATTAAAAACCATCAATTTATGGCAATTGTGGTTCATGTTCTCGGACAAAGCATTGACGTATTAATCTTTTGTGTCTTAATTTTATAAGATATTTCGTCATATTTTATTTGAAAAATTAAAACTAAACAACAATTCCAACTAACTCGTGAACACGTACGGGATATGAATGATTTAAAGTTACCAATGACGGTAAAACTAAAATATCTTCTACCCTGGCAACAACAGGCAAGGATTTTTAAAATGGCCAGACACCACTAAACACCTGCTCTCAACTGTACTATTAAATTCAAATCGTAATATTATTTACCTTGCTAATTATTAGCTCAATAAGTAAGATAAATTAAAAGCAATACTAATACATAGTATAGGAATTAGCGGTGCTAGAAATGCTTAAAAATCATCACCTCCTACAACGTCGATCAGTTCACCATGCAACCATTTATTTTTCAGTGCAATCTCGACATCATTTAAACTATTTTTTAGATTGTTATAGACTGCATCAACCTTAAATTAAAAAGAAAACCGTACGCCATATATCGGCTTAACCTAAACCTTACCTACCCTCTTCCGTCTGATATAAGATTTCCTGAAAAAATAATTTTTTTCTTCTTTCTATCGTGTTACTGACGATGCAATAACATCATATCTATATACTTTTTTTCATTTTGACGCATAGTGAAAAAATATATAACATGTCACCCAGGGGGAACATTGGTCACCAGAAGGCAGTAATATAAGTGTCACTCTTGAGGAACATCAGGCATACATACAAACATAAGGCACTATATTTTAATTTGAACTAGATTGTTATAATATGAGGATGGATAAACAATCAGGTAATGACAAAAATGTACTGTACCAAGATTCTCTGACTTGAAAACATACAGTCCTTTTTATTCACGTTGGCACTAAGTTCAGTTTGATAAGTTTACTCTCGATGGTAGGTGGCAAAGAAATTAGAAGATACTGTTATACAAAGATTTACCTTACACTTCTTGCATGCAAATCTAGTTTTACCGGTACATTTGTCGTTTTTGCACCTGTTTCTATTTTTTCCAAAACAGGAAAGATGCCAATTTGGTCAAAGTGGCCAATTTGGTCGAAGACGTTTGGGGGTTGAACTGTGACTTTCCTCTGGTGATGGCCTTCCACGTTTTGCTGGTCGTGCTTCACCCTTCGCTGTTAGTGCACTAGCAACCGATAATTTGAAATGAGCCAGCGGTAGAATATCTTTTCTTTGAAGGTTCAAATCTTCAGCATCCCTTTTGTATAGTTTCCAGGAATTTATTATAGACATGTCGAACATATGAAATACAAGTCTCATATAGAACTTCTTACATCGCAGAGAGATTCTATAAAGCGCTATAAGACTATCAGCCAGGTCGACGCCTCCCATGCATTTGTTATATTTCTGAATAATGTCTGGGCATGTCACGTCTACCACTTTCTTCTGTTTTTTTGTCATATCTCTCGACAGTTGTTACTGGGCAAGCTCTCGCAAAGTTCGACACAATATTGACAATTTTGTTGACGTGCCACTTTACGTAACTAATTTCGCAATTACTTTGCTTGCAAACGAGCTCTTCATATGATCCTCTACCCTTTTTCTCCAATGCTTTGTCAACTTGTTTGCCTTTCGCTACACCTGGTAGTCTTTGAGTTCTAACAGTGCCACAAGTCCATATTCCTCTGCTGGCGAGGTGATCCATGAGAGGAAGGCTGGTGAACCAGTTGTCGAAGTACAAGATATGATTCATTTGTGACGGAATGACCTGAGCGAGGTGAAGAACAATGTTACGACTTGGTTTGACGTCAGGAATATTCGGGGCGTCACCTGGTTCGATCTTACTCGTGTATGGGATGAAGTCATGTATTATTTCTTTTGTGTCAGCCAGAACAAATATCTTATATCCCCACTTATGCGGCTTACTTGGGATGTATTGCTTCAGTTGGCTTCTCCCTTTGAAGGGAACAAGTTGTTCATCAATGCATAGTTCTTGCTGCATTGGAATTTTCTGAAATTTTTGTCGAAGATGTTCAATCATTGGTTTTACTTTGAACATTTTATCACATTAATTTGCTATTTTGCTGTTGTCACTTATGTGGAAGTGAGTTTTAATTGCTTCAAATCTATTCCTGCTTATCACTGTGGGGGCCACGACCATGAAGTCATGAAGTTTACGGCACCAATGCATTCGTGTGTCAGATACCTTCATTATAGAAAAATACATCACGAGGCCAATCCACTGTTCGAGCTCATTCTTCGTAAGCCCCAAGGGTTTATTCACATTTTTTTGCACAGAATAAAGGTTTGATTGTTCGACAACCAGTTCTAGAAACGAGTCAGTAATGAAGGACTTGAAATATTCGTACGGATGTTGCACTTCATGGCAGCAGGGTTTGGTCCCAGTTGACAGCTGATATTCAGGTTCTTGAGTGCACCCACCGTCTTTATTGTACCACTGCGGGGCTAAAATATGCCTCTTTGTCCGTGTAGCTCTGGACGAGGCGGTGCTTTCATCGGCCTGTAGTTCCAAAACTACAGTTTCATCGTTAGGAAATACATCACTGGGCTCATCATCATGATCCTCGTCTTCAATATCTAATTCAATTTGTTCAGGAGGAAAAGTTAGCTCCCCAACTTCTTCATCTTCTCCGTCACAATCGCCCGGACCATCACTGTCAATAGCTGATTCTTGTATTTTCATTGCAGTTTTTCGCCCATAGAATGAACTTGGTTGAAAAATATCTGGAAATAAAGAGAAAGTGAAAATTTGAATTGATTTCGAGAATACGGATTATATGTTTTTTATGTACATCCACTGAAATTATTTCATTGAATTATAATCGAAACTCAATGCATTTTATCGTTCAAAAACTATGTATTCACCTGAATGAGCATGCATATATAATATTGTACCAAGCAGTTTTTCATAAATGTCACATAATATAATCACCTGACGGATGTTCCTCCTCAGTGACAGACAATAAATGTAGTGGAGAGCCTGATGTTCCCTCTCAGTGACAAACAATGAATTATACAAAAAAAGTTTATTGTAAAGTTAAAAGAGAAACCGAATACATCAGACATAACCTAGATTAATGAGAACAGCTTATAAAAATTCGCAGCATCATAACTCACCATTGTTTTCGTCCATGATTAGGTAAAGATGGCAAACCGAAGAATAATAATTGTCACACCTCCGACCCTTGAAACGTATAACCATCCACTGAGCGCGAAACCACTTCCATTGACGGTTGCTGCCGTGTACGACAACTTTAACATGTCCTCTACAGGGAACAACCGTCGTCAGGTCGCTACAGTCAATAACTGGCGCATAACTTCAATATAAAAGTTATGTTCCCGGACAGTGACACGGGGCGGTAGAGGGTTAAATAGGGCAGTTAAATTCCAACGACATTCGAACGTTTAACTTAGTTGAAGCCGCTTAAACTGTTGATTATATTTTCATGACAAACTATATAGTTTATCATCATGGCAACTGGAATTTCTAATTGGAATTGTTCATTGAACTGGGTGATACAAAATTTAATTAAATACTTCAAATTTATGGCAAATGTAGTTCATGTTCTCGGATAGAGCATTGGCATCTGAATCTTTTTTGTCTTAGTATTTCACCGGCGTCTTGACGAGAAGTGTATTTTATAAGATATTTCGTCAAATTTTATTTGAACAATCAAAACTAAACAACAATTCCAACTGTCATGTGAACAAGTACGGGATGTGAACGATTTAAAGTTACCAATGACGATGACACCAAAATATCTTCTAATCTGACAACAACAGGCAAGGATTTTTTAAGTGGTCAAACACCGCCAAACACCTGCTCTCAACTGCACTATTAAATTCAAAATCATACATTTACTTGCCTTGCTAATTATTAGCTAAATAAGTAAGATAAATTAGAAGTAATACTAATATATAGTATTGTTAGTGGTGCTAGGAATGCTTGAAAATCTTCATCTCGTACAAATTAAATCAGATCTCCATGAAACCATTTATTTTTCGGTGCAAACTAAACATCATTTCAACTATTTTTTAGATTGTTAGGCTGCATCAACCTTAAATTTAAAAATAAATCGAGTACACCAAATATTGGCTTGACCTAAACCTTATCTACTGCTGATTTATCTGCTTCAAATGTAAAAGTTATTATTTATATAATATTATTTTTATAATATTATTATTTCAAGCTTTTCGTCAGAAAGGATCTCACGCAATTCAATTCGAAATGCCTTGGTTATGGTCTAAGTTGCTTATGATAGGGAGTTGTCAGAGTTACATGCAGTTACGTTTACGAGTAGAGTATTTCTTCGAGTTTTAGCTGTCTATAACAATGAAAATATTCTTGTGTTCTAATCTATCAATAACTGGCATTCCATTTATTGGCATGATGGTTCAGCAATTTCAGCATTTAATTACATCCGTATTCCTTCAGTAAAGAATTAAGCAAACAAGTATTATCAATAAAATGTAGGTACAGAATTGATTATTTTACTAGAAGATATAGAAAAGCCAAGTATAATATTGTCATTCTTGACGGTCATAATTCGATCACGGGTAAGGTTGAATTAATTAATTTTCCTGGCGAAGAATTTTGGGCAAGTGCGTAAATAGGGTCCTATATAAGAGTGGCTTCAAGCTTCTAATGTTGCTGGTTCGGTACTATGCTCAAAAAAGATGATAGACACGATAATGAAATACCTATACAATAAAATCCGGTCGTAAATCAACATTAAGTCATACCGAAGAGGCGATGTTGTACTATGTAACGAATGTACTATTTCTATGTTGTACTATAACGAAACGATGTTGCGAGAATTGCGTTGCAATTAGGTAACGTCTAAATTCTCATTTTGGACTTCTATTATTCATGATTCAAATGTCGTGAACGGAGGCTGTTTCAACATTGTTTCAACCAGATAATGCCTACTGGAAAGCTGGCGTTTCTAAAGAAATGTGAAATTGATACAGCGTTTTCGCTCATATGCAGTAAAAATTGTTTTGCAGCACATCGGTTAAAATACGGCACACTTGACATATCGTATTAAAGTATCACTAGCTTCATATTAATGTTTACATGAAATATACGAGCTTTGACACATTAAAATTATGAATACAATTACAATTGAAAATCAGCCCCGTAACATAGGATCAGTCAGCCCTAAGTATTAACTTCGATAAAAAGTGGCATACGTGTTTCGAAAGTTCAAGAAAAGAATTAAATAAAATTAAATTAGGAGCGCCGTATTATTGACGTATGCCAAAATGTATAATAACATCACTGAAAGAGTAAATTCCTCCAAAAAACTTCAGGGCCGGGGGCTACTCGGAAATAGGGAACGCCCAGGACTCGGGGAGCACGTAAATCAGCTTCTCAATGTCCACATATTGCTCAACATTCAGATCCCAAGTTAGACTTGTAGGTACGAGAGCCTGTGGTCTCGACTCTGGCGGTTACTGAGCGATTCACTTGGGAATCGTCCCCGTATCCTGGGCAGCTCTGGCCGAGTCTGACAATGTGATAAAAAATCGCCCCCTCCTTACTCCGCAGTGAGAAGAAGGGAGGGGCAATTGAATTTAAACGTGATTTACTATCAATGCTCGTTTCTGTAACTCGCTGAATACAAAGACCATAATGTGAAAACTCAGAATAGTGGGTAATAATGCTTGTGGAAAAAACTATTTTCACCCACAACCAAAGAAATAATGCAAAAAGTTGCCGCTATAAGCAACTAATGATAAATCAAACAATATAAGTGTTGTGTAGTCTTTGCAATGAGGAACGAAGCCATCCTTTGATATTTTTGGAAAAATGTACCTAAGCATTGTTAAATGGATGAAAAATTAAACGATGACGCTATTAATTATCGATTGTATCGAATTATATAACTGATAACGGCTTTCAACTCAATGCAACCTTATTGGTAAGCATTTATAGCCATAGAGAACATGCATTTGTGGACATACCCAGTATATAGCATTGTAATTGACATCGGTAAACAGTGATGAGTTTTATTAATATGAGATTAAATTACACTTAGCTCTCCCGCAGTCCTGTGAAAGAACAACCCGCTGCTTCCAAGTCTCGAACGCGGGTCTAGACGACGTGTAGCATGAACCTCTAGCAGCACACTACGACGACGCGTGTGCTATTCATAATTTTTAAACCAGCTGATGACTATGGACAATAAGTAAAATTTTCCTTTCTTGAATATGCATAAGATAATTTTCAGTTTCTTCGAAAAATACCATAGTTTATAAAAATACACAGTTAAAATTAAATACTTTCCTAATATTGATGAAACATACGCATTATCTTAATTATTATGGTTCTTCGATGCTGTGAAAGATTTGCTCGCGTTTCCAATATTCGGGAAAACTGTAGATAATCGCGATTTTTCGTTAGCCTTCCAGAAAACGATTTTATTTAATATGGGAGGTCCGAACAGTGGTATGCAAATGATTTACAGAAGGTATTTTTTATCATATCATATTGTGATGTCGGCGCTGAAGAGTAGGCCTAATGTGGCCAGTCGCCGAAACTTGTATTTTTCGTGAATAGTTCACAGATGCAAAAACAGGTTCTTTGACCGGATCTTTCAAAACTGACGATAGTTTGAAATAGCTACTAGATTCCACCAGGTTCGAAATGGTGCTAGGCAATTCAAGTCTTAACACATATTTCTGTATAACTTTTTCTAGAATAGAATAAAATAGAATAGAATAGAAGTATCGGCACTGAAGAAATAGGACCATGTCCTGTTGCCGATTATTGTACTTTTCGTGACTTGATTCCGCAAGGGATCCGGCCTCTTGAACCCAATTTTTCCATAACTGACGATTGATTGAGATAGCTGCTGAACTTATTGCAAGGTCCGTAAGCTGCTAGGCATTTCAAGACTGAACATATGCTCCTGCATAGCTTCGTCTAGTCTGTTCTTGAAGGCGTTCATATTCAGAGCGTCAAAGATGTTGTCAGAGAGGCTGTTCCACATGTCGGTGACGTGAAGCGAGAAGAAATATTGTCGCATGGATGTTTTGAGATGGATGAGAAGAAATATTGTCGTTTTTGCCATACTATCAGGACACAATATAGGCGGCAAGGCAATTCTGACTATAGTAGCTGATTGCGATCGAGTGGCCAAGCAGGCTCAAAATAACCTTAGAAGCGAGTCAGTCGCATAGCCTAAAGCATACCTTAAATTTTGTTAATGTTGATGTAGATCAAACTTTATGTTACGATAATCATCACAGAATTTACATGCGTAAATAGATAGAATTCAAAAATTAAACTAATTATTCTTTCTGTGCAATTGGAAGAAATTTGAAAAGAAAAATTTTTAAGGGAAAAAATTTTCGATGATGTCTCATTTTGAATGGAAGTGGATACTTTAAAACAAACATATTTGAGAAGAACGCAGTTATGGTTCTAACTGATACCTCAGAATACAGACTAAAAACTGCTCCATATAACTTATCCGTGTGAATATTACTGATACTAGATTTATGTCAAAAACGATAACTGAAGACATTCAGAAACAAATTTTCGTTTGATTTTTTTTTCAACCACATAATCTCTTCCCAAGATATCTTCAAGATATCTTCTTGAATTTCGACATTCAAATTTTAAATGTTCTTGAGCACAAAGTGCGAACGAGAGGACATTCTGGTTAAAAAAATATCAACATGAAATCGAACCAGAGCAAACTACAAGCAATCCTTCAACCGATTGATATACCTTCAAATTCATTACGACGAAAAATAAAATTATAATTTGTTTTTCTTAGTTCAGCAATTTCGTTCTTCACAAAATTTTTTTCGTTCTAAATGTGTCAGTTTTCCTCTCACGCACCGCGCAGGTTCTCCGCTGTACTCCTGCTGGCCGTGGCCGGTCTGACGAACGCTTACCTCGACCAGGGAGTTTGTCCAGACTTCCAGAACATCGCTGCGTTCGTAATTCCTTCAGTCAGTATTTATGGAGTATTATGTATATCAAAAAATGTACGCAAAAAGTTCATCTGAAACTCAAAATATCACGAAATCTTGTTAATGAAATCCCGTAAGGTTTTAATAAAACATTGCTAGAACTTATTCTTCACTTTCAGCAAGGAATATAAAAAAGAATTGTGTGCTTTCTTAACGTCATATGCGGTAGCAAAACAGACATAGAGACAAATTCATTTTCATTATAATTCAAAACTCGCATTAAGGCATTGCTATATGATGAATAATAATAACTAGAAAACGTATTACAAGCGCTCGATCGGAATTCTAATTCTGAAAATGCCAAAAATACTTATTTTTTCTCCCCAAGTTCAAAATTTTTTAACACGGTCTCTTAAAATTTACGTGTCTTCAAGACAAAATTAAATTTCCACTCGTTCTCTTTTTCACAAATAGTAAAATATTATTTTCGGGAGACTTCCAATTTTCAATGCTTCGTCACTTCAGATCCCTGAATTGTAGCTTAAGAGATATTCTTGAATATCCTTTTGAAAGTAAAGAAACTAATTTCTTCTTGTGTGCGAATACCAATTAAGTTGATAAGAATTATATCCTAGGTGCGTTAATATTTAATTATAGGTTTATGGATCAGAAAGCCTGGATGGATGAAAACAAAGGTCCCATATCTGTTCATAATTGTGTAGAATTGAACTGTTGTTCCATTACGTGAGAAGAAAGCTTAATGGATACACAGAAAACCATTATAATCTTGAATTTCAAATTTGTACTCATTGAAATTTTCATGACTTTCTTGCATTATATTCAACGGGCAACTTATTTATTATTATAAAAATTATTTCCGGAGTTATCGACAAAACCAGAGTTCAAAGCCCGAAAACCCAGAAAATCTTAACATCAAATTAACCTCAAACATATAACGAGCATTGATCAAATCAGTTCGTCAAATCAGTACAATTTGCAAATGTTGGTTTCCATAAAATTTCAGTACATGGGACGTTGGTTCGAAGCTCACAGGTTCCAAGCCGGGTTTGAAGACGGGATGACGTGCGCTACCGCAGATTACGCCGCAATCGGTAGGTAAACCTTCTTTAAGGAAATTTAAATAAAAATTCTGACCACATTTAAAACCGATTGGTTCATCAAGAAATTATTTTTGGCATTCAATTACTGCATTTTTCTGAGTTCCTAATTTGAATCATTTATTATCCTATATAAAGAAATCCGTTAAACTCCTGGTAGTAATTAATGGTTCAAAATATGTCATAAAATACTCAGATTTTTTGCACATGAGTGGCTGATTATCATTGAATTTCAAATCTAATAATTTCAAAATTAATTATAGAATAATTTCACTGGAAAACAATTATTTCAGTCCGAAGCCAAAGATCGCAAAATGCACTACATCAAGCAAGGCTCCTGAAAATATATACTATCACAACAAGACGGATGCCTAAGTAATTGTGACTTATAATTACAAATAATTTCATATATGTCCTGATTCATCAACACCTCATTTTCAACGAAAATCTACAAATTACTTGAACCAGCCTAATTTTAGTAATTTATTAGTCACATCAATTTTCGAGAACCGATTAATGCAAATGAACGACATGGCAGCAGTCCATTCTCGAAATTAATATTCTATTGCATTCACTTCGATTAATTACGCGTCATGAGTTTGTCTATTATGCTCGTCATCCAGGTCAATTTTTCATCTGAAAAAATATATTTCTAAATTATCTAATCTGCTTGCGATTCGTCATTCTTGGTCTCGAAAATTTATCACACAATCTTAAAAAAATATAACTCTACTCACTGCAGTGAGTGACAGAGAACGCATTTTCTCGTCGACGAAAACGTGGTCACGGACGGACAGACGAACAGACATAACGAACACAATAGCGCCTTTTTTCCATAAATGAGAAAATGCGCTAAAAACCTGAAATTGCGGAAATTTAATCTCAAGACGACACGACGATCTCGGTCACGAACTCCGCCGTTCTCTCCGACGGGACGCTGGACGCGATAAGCGGTACAGGATCGGCCACGGGCGTCCCAGGTCAGCTCATTGTCCAATTTCCTGGTGAACCTGTCGGCTTCTACAACGTCCTGGCCACCGACTACGAGACCTACAGCAGCGTCTACTCCTGCCGCCAGGTCAGTGTAGGGTCAGTAGCAGGCTCACTTCATGTAAGTGACAGTCATGTGTACTTCATATCAGTAATAGAATCACGTATCTTAATGTCAGTAGCAGAATCGCGTATATTAATGTCAGTAGCAGGATCATGAACCTCATGTCAGTAGCAGAATCATGAACCTCATGTCAGTAGCAGAATCATGTACCTCATGTCAGTAGTAGAATAGCAGAATCAACCCATGTCAGAGCAGGATCGTCAAGTCAGAATGGTTTAGGTAGTACTCAGTTAAGTGTAGCTGCCGTCGCTGTCATAAGGCAGCGAAGAGATAGACGCGCGATTGATACTTAGAGTCTCTCATAACTGCTTTGCTCGGCTCTGTGCTGCTCAGCCCATATGTATCAGTGCCACAACAGTGCCGCTTTTCTGCTCTGCCGGACTATTGGAGTTTTTCTCTATATTAGTTCGGCTCTGCGGGCTGTTAAATTTTTTCTTTATATTCGCAAATTGGCTCAGCGCTGCTATAGAGATAGCTGGCCGGTCATTGCATCATGGCTCTGTCCGACTAAATTAGGCGTCAGTCTAGGCTCAGTATTTTGGGTGGGGCTTGAAGGGCAGCCCTCTGAGCAGTTTATAGGCTCGGTGGGCATGGCCAAGCCCACTCTTGCCATACTTCGCAGCCTGGCCTTCACTATTATATTTGAACATTCTCTGAAATAATTAATACTATATTCAATTTATGTCATCCGTGTGGCTATTTCTTAGACTGCATCAACGAAGTAACGAATTCTTCCGCAGATCGGTGACTTGCGTGACCAGTACGCATGGGTGATGTCCCGCACTGAAGAGCTTGACGCTGACTCGCTCGTGAGTACACGTTCATAATGCATAAATAAATGGACATAGTGCATCGATAAATTTATTTTTTCAATTACAAATCAGTGCATAAATAAATGGACATACTGCATTAATGAATTCATTTTTATTTAATTACATATCAAGCACTTGCTCTACTCATACAATATCTATCCCAACCAAATTCTGCGAAATTATTTCATCGAAAGATACAACCAAAATGCAGGTATGACATATGAGGCGCCTTTCGAAAGAAAGTACCAAAAAAATTTTCTATAATTATTTGTTCGCTCGCAAGGTTATACTTCACTCTACTATAATACATAATTCTCTCTAATATAAACAGCCGATAAATGTTGATGCAACTTTCGTTGATACGAAAATCTCAACAGGCTGCTGCGCTGGACGCATTCGAGTCTAACGGCATCGACACGTCGCTGTTGCAGGCAACGCCACAAGGCGGTGACTGCATCTACGCGCCCGTTCCTCCCAAGATATGAAGAAAAAAATACAGAATTACCAAGGAAATTTATGGATACCACATTTTCTCCATATTGCATACAATTTAACTCATTGAAAGAATATGCATACACGTACGAATATAAATCAATTTCAAGCAAAGTGACAGTTGATTTAATTCTCCCTATTGATTCTCAACTATTAACTTAATTTCAACATATCAACTTAGCTTCACATATTTCACTTTAGTGCATGGATCGGCAAGTCATAAAGATTTCAGTTCGATGAATTTATACCACAGTAACAATTAATTACCTATCACATGCCGCTTTTCCGCGAATTAATTAAAGGTCAATGATATTATCAATTAAATTCTTCCAAAAAATCCACATCGTAATAATAGGTTTTTTTAAATTTCACACAACATGTTCCAAAACAAACTTTTTGATAATTCAATACCTTTTTTACAATACTAGAGGAAATAAGCAGAATAATCCTATTATATTCTCATGAAATAACAAAGGTTTAGTTTTAAATATCTGACTAATTTCAGGTCAAAGCCTTCTATTTAAACTTGCTCTAGGCTTCATTACATTATGGGTTAAGTAGCTTCAGCCTGCACATTCAAAGTAACTGATCTCGACCCTGCTATTTTACTTTCTCTTTTCTTTATTTCACGTATTTTTGCCAGTTAATTGACAGATTACTTAACAGCATCAACTCACAGAGTGCTACTGATGCTTCAAATCTTAATAATAATCTTCAAAGATCTTCAGCCTCAGTTCGATAGCAAAGTAGATATGGAGCAGACTATAACGTGGATACCCGTCCTAGACCACAGGTCGGGGCGTTGACACACCTGCGAGATTTGTCGTCGACTACGAAGGTCCATTTTGATAACTTTGGTTGCGACCACCGCTACGACTTCAGCCACGGTTGTAGAGCGTTGGTTGCGACCACCGCTGCGCCTTCAGCCATGGTTGTGGAGCGTTGGTTGCGACCACCGCTACGCCTTCAGCCACGGTTGTAGAGCGTTGGTTGCGACCACCGCTACGCCTTCAGCCCCGGTTATAGAGCGTTGGTTGCGACTACCATTGCAGCTCTAGCCATGGTTTTAGAGCGTTTGTTGCGACCACCGCTACGCCTTCAGCCACGTTGTAGAGCGTTGGTTGCGACTACCGCTACGCCCTTAGCCACGGTTGTAGAACGTTGGCTGCAACTACCGCTACGCCTTCAGCCACGTTGTAGAGCGTTGGTTGCGACTACCGCTACGCCNCCGCTACGCCTTCAGCCACGTTTGGAAAGCGTTGGTTGCAACTACCGCTACGCCTTCATCCACGTTGTAGAGCGTTGGTTGCGACTACCGCTACGCCTTCAGCCACGGTTGTAGAGCCTTGGTTGCAACTACCGATACGCCTTCAGCCACGGTTGTAGATCGTTGGTTGCGACCACCGCTACGCCTTCAGCCACGGTTGTAGAGCGTTGGTTTGGTTGCGACCACCGCTACGCCCTCAGCCATGGTTGTAGAGCGTTGGTTGCGACTACCGCTACGCCTTCAGCCATGGTTGTGGAGCGTTGGTTGCGACCACCGCTACGCCTTCAGCCATGGTTGTAGAGCGTTGGTTGCGACCACCGCTACGCCTGCAGCCACGGTTGTAGAGCGTTGGTTGCGACGACCGCTACGCCTTCAGCCACGGTTGTAGAGCGTTGGTTGCGACCACCGCTACGCCTTCAGCCACGGTGGGAGAACGTTAGTTGCGACTACTGCTACGCCTTCAGCCATGGTTGTAGAGCGTTGGTTTGGTTGTGGCAGCCGCTACGCCTTCAGTCACGGTTGTAGAGCGTTGGTTGCGACCACCGCTACGCCTTCAGTCACGGTTGTAGAGCGTTGGTTACGACCACCGCTACGCCTTCAGCCACGGTTGTAGAGCGTTAGTTTGGTTGGGACAACCACTACGCCTTCAGCCACGGTCGTAGAGCGTTGGTGGCGACTACCGCTACGCCTTCAGCCACGGTTGTAGTGCGTTGGTTGCGACGCACCGCTACGCCTTCAGCCACGGTTGTAGAGCGTTGGTTGCGACCACCGCTACGCCTTCAGCCACGGTTGTAGAGCGTTGGTTGCGACCACCTCTACGACTTCAGCCACGGTTGTAGAGCGTTGGTTACGACTGCCGCTGCACTTTCAGCCACGGTTGTAGAGCGTTGGTTGCGACTACCGCTACGACTCCAGCCACGATTATAGTTTTACGCATTGACAAGCCATGCACCGAAAGACTTTTAGTACCTACTTCAATTAAGTATATCACTGTCTTGGTGGACACTTTAGCAGGAGGTGATGACGTGCTAAGTTTTTTTATACCCGAACAAATAATCAGCCCGTTATAATTAATATCATCGATCTTCAATCAAAACCTTTTATGGATATTTAAGCATTCTCAGTTAGATTCCTATTGAAATGCAATAACCTCTTTCACGAACTCGGAACACATTCCGCGTAACATTTAAACCTGGTTTTAATGGCTGTTTTCCACATTCAGCAATATTTTTCAACTTCCGAGCTCCTTTTATGCATTATGTAAGCAAAGATTTTTAATTTACCAGGATTTACGAGTTGGGCTAACGTTGCGACTCCTCTTTCTCTTCATAGCTTGTAAGTGATTTTTCCAGGAGCAGTCGGAGCAAACTTGGAATGAAGCTGACATATTTGTCCTATTGCATTGCAATTAAACAATAAATTAGTCCTATACTATTTAACTTGATTTTTTCGCCTTTGAAACAATTCATGAGTCTCATTTCCTAAAGTTTTGTCAAAGTCACGATCGAGGGTTACATATTGATACCGTAAAGCGAGCAATTTCCTGCAAGTGATATTTTTCCAAAAACAATAGGCGTGCATGAGGGGGCTAATACCTAGTAATATATAAAGTGATATTTGCATTTATTATTTTTCGATGATGAACTAATTTAAATATACACGCCACAAATCTCACCCGAAACGTAATAATTTACTTTCACCAAAAAGTGTCGAACCGTCGGATCTGAAACTTTTTTAATGAAGTGTGATGTTACTAGTGCAATAAAATTCTGAGAATCTTATTACCGCCACTGAAGATACAGAAAAAAAGACACCGATGCAAATTGTGACCCCGATGTAACACCAAAAAACTAATGCAACGCAATTCGTTTTCAACAAGTGATAGAAGATTTTAATAAGCGGACAAACTGAAATTTCAATTTTTTTCAATTATCAGAAACGAAGAACCCGGAGAAGCCAGTCCAAAGAATCCTGCCTTCAAAATAATTTTTAACACAACAACTGAGACGTAAATTCATGCGGACACCACGAGTCCAAAGACCAGGCGTTCAGTGAAGTTGTGGATGCCAAAGGAACGCATATACTATATGATTCTTACGAGTAAATCAAGTCACTTGCACAAAACTACCCTTCCAAAGACATGACATTCACGTGCCAATAAGTACCCATCCAAAGACATGACATAGACATGCCATAGAACTACACATCCAAATACATGATATACATGTTCCATAAACCTACCCTTCCAAATACATGACATACACGTGCCATAAAACTACAATTCCATATACATGACATAGACGTGCTAAAATGTACCCGTCCAATTGCATAACATACACGTGTCATAAAACTACCCTTACAAACACATGACATTCACGTGTCAAAAAAGTACCCATCCAATAGCATGACATTCACATGCCAAAAAAAACACCTTTCCCAATACATAACACACACGTGCCATAAAACTACCCATCCAAAGACATGACATTCACGGGACTATAAATTTACCTTCCTATGACGGGTCGAGACACGATAACAATTGTACACGATAACTCATGACACGATACCACAAGTGGAATACCAAGACGAGATAAAATCTAACTATACACCTGCCACGCGTAGAACACTTAGTTTTTGCACGTTACGTAACTAGCATTTATAATTAAAAATCAATTGTAGTGCAAATATTTATAACATTTTCCGATCTGAAAATAAGTGAATTATACCTACTTGACAGTTTCTTAATCCAGGTCATCCGGTTATATATATATATATATATATATATATATATACATATATTAACATGGTTCGTACAATTACCGGACAAAATTAATTACAATTCGTAACATTACCGGACATCGGGTACAAAACCGGACAAAAATCGAGTCCGGTAATTGACGCTAGTACTTATTTATGTGTAAAAACCGGACACGAAAATAAATGAACTACATTACCGG